GGAGGGAAAATAATGGGGCAAAAGACTGCAGCAGGTAGGATGGAGCTGCAGTGCATGTGAAACACTTTAAAGCTTCTCAAATCTTTGTTGTACTAGAAAATGAGAGACTTACAGGACAGAGAGATGRCGAGCASAATCWCWGAATGGTTTGGGTTGAAAGGGTTCTCAAAGCTCATCCCATCCCACTCCCCCTGCCATGGGCAGGGACAYMTTCCACAGCCCCAGRCTGCTCCAAGCCCTGTCCAACCTTGCCTTGGACACTTCCAGCAATGAGGCAGCCACAACTTGTCCAGGAAATCTGTGCCAGTGTCTCACCACCCTCACCATGAAGAGCCGCTTCCTAAAATCTAATCTAAATCTACCTTTTTTTCAGTTTAAAGCCATTACCCTTTGTCCTACTACTACACACCTGTGTAAAAAGAAAAAAAAAAATGGAGGAAAGCCATTTTTTTAATTTTCCCTTGAAAAAGCATCCAAAATCCTGAAAAGAACGAAGGGGAAGCAGTAAACATGGAGGGACTGAAAAATGTGATGGGAACTGCAGAATATATCTTGAAAATCGCTGTGCTGTCTCATCTTCTGCAGCCCTTCAGTTGGTGCAAGCTCTTGGAACTCCAGCAATATGAAAAGATTGCAATATCCATGGGGAACAGTGGCCCACGGGGAGCCCACTTTCATGTGGCTATTACTGTGATTCCCAGACGTTGTTCTGCAAAATACACTCTGTTCCTGCCTGTAAATCCTACGGCTTTCTTCCCCAGCTGGAACAGTGCAGGCAGATGCTGTTACAGGCACACTGCTCCCCTAAATCCACGGCGTGCTCACATTGCTGAGTGTGTCACCAAATACCATTATATAACAATACATCAAGTTTGGCAACCAATCCCCTCTGGAAATTCTATCAGCAAMAATTTCATGTTTCCTTCCAAGTCACAGCTAAAAATATCAAACATCAGGCTAAGAAAAACTTAACAAGTTACTGCAATTAACAAGCACATTTTCTGATATCACCAAAAATAACTAATATGGAGATCATAATTGTTAATACTACATTATGACATTTTTTACTGCAATGATAACAGAATAAAGTTTTGGGGTAAAAATTAAGACCCTACTGAGTTGACAGGTAATCCGAACAAATACAAGATTAGTWTAGCATGAAGAAATACCTATTTAGCAAAAAAAGGCTTAGCATGAAGCTCTGCTGGCTGGTAAAAGAACATAAAAAACTAAATTACGTAAGTAGTCTCTCTCTGTATCTGCTCTTTTTCACTCCCTAGAATCAAGCTGAGTRGTCAGTSCAACACTCAGGTGCATYTATATATTCTTGGGATTTTCCTGARGTGTTATTTAAAATGGTAAGCCCTCCTCTAAAGGACTTTTGGGACAACTTTTATTTTAAACTACTGGTACAAGTTATCCATTTGGATGAGTAGGGAGTGAAACATATTTAATGTTCTTCTGTGTTAAAACACATTTGTTTGTAATAAAAGAAACTCATAAAATAAGCACACGTGCAGAATTAGCCTTAAACACAAAGCAAATGTCTATAATCATGAGGAGGCCACATGGCCTCTGATATCTTTAATATCTACCTTTGACAGATACTACGAGATGGAAGGAAGAGATGAGGCTGCTCACGTCTAAAAGAGAAATATATATATTTATATTTAATCAATTTTAAAACTTTTTTCTGAGAAGAATCTGGGTGATATGTTACATTTAACAGCTTTTATCAGTAAGTAGGTAACTGCTTTGCCCCTGCAGAATAGAAGTCACTCTGCTAAGTGTGGTTTGGCAGCAAATCCACTCTGCCGAGCCCTGTGTGCACCGATCTGGTCTCTTGGTGTCTCTCCCAATGAAGCAGTGTCTCCATTCTCTCCTCATCACAAACCCAACGTGCTACCTGGCACCAGCRCTGGAAGCACAGCCAGCAGCTAACAGAGCTTGGCAAGCCAACTGCTCTGGCCCACCAGAGCTTCAACATTCACAAACAAAGAGCAGAGTTTGGGGAACAGCAGGGAAACCTCAATGCCGTAATTAGTGCTATAATTTGGTCTATTTGTCAAGTAGAAGCAGGACTTTAACCTTCTGGCAAGTCTGTTTAGAGCSCTTTGTTGAGACAGCATAAAACAAACATACAGAGGCTGGTAAGTACCCAGTCTCGCAGTCTTTTTCTAGAGGAATGGCACAGAATTGAATCTGGGGGACTGAAAAGCTGCTGGATGACTAGAATCAAATTCAGAAAACAAACAGAAGGTCTACTGTGCCTGCAGCACTGACTGTTTATACATTTTGACCTTTCACAGGAGATCACTCGCTCACTGTGTGACCACACCAAGGGCACCATTGAACACGAGGGTCCCAGTCACTGGCACTGCCACCATCCAACTGTGACAAAAGCCACTCAAACCACACAAGATGTGGTTTGAAACCAAGTGGGGAGAGGGAGGAACAGAAAGTTCACTAAGTGAACCACAGAGATAGTTCAGTCAGGACACAAAGGAAAGTTGAGCCCAACACCAACTGACTCGGATCATATCGCTTCCATAATCCCAGCACAGATCTCTGCTGGAATCAATGGCAGGCTTGTGTGGATTGTTTCATATAAATGCACAGCCCTGTTTAGGGCTCCATATACAAAAGAGAACGAGGTACTGAGAACAATTCCCTTAATTAGCACTTCTCTTCCACCGAGTGCTTCTAAAATAATAAATTCTAACTTTACACAGCTCTGTTTTCATTCACAGTTTTTATCAGAGGTGGCAAAACAACTGACCCCATTTGACAAATAAGAGATCTGAAGCACAGGATGCAAATTAAACTGAAGAGCAGTGCAGCAGGCAGAGCTGAACTGGGAATAGCAGCTTACCTTCTGATTCAGACTTTAATGTCCTAGATATTTACAGCTTATCTAGTTCAGGTCTCTAATTAGGGTGACTGCAGCCCTCAAACAATTTTGCATACTTCCTAAAGTACCTGTGTACAGCGATAAGCTTAACCATAAGAGTTTCCCACTCAATAATGCCAATTTTATGAAGATTTAGGATGTCCTGCATTAGTTCAAAACACCGGACTGCCTCGGTCAGACTCTGAAAGGACTCTTATGGTATCACACCTCTCATTACTCAACAGCAATAAAAGGTTATAAAACAGGCCATCAAATCCACGTGCTTCCTATCATTAAAGGAAAAAAAAAAGGAGGAAAAACCCCCAAACAAAATAACAATCTGCCRATTCATTAGCTATAAATGACCTACCTAATCCTGCTGTTCCAAATTGACAGCGATCCCTAAGAAAAAGYGASACTGGGTCTCTATTCAAGAAAAAARGGCAAAACTTACAAGAAGTCAGTGYAAAATGTCACATACACTAACTGCAAATGAAAATTCCAGTCTTACTTGTTTGCAATTGTTTTACAACAAAGCCAAACATAAATTATACTGTTGTTTGACTCAAAAAGCAACATGTTTAATTAAGTGATATTAGTTTCACCTGCATGACAGAGGTACAAAGTGGCTTCAGGTGTAGAATCAGCGTTCAGCTCAATACAGACCGTCTCCTCTCAATGTCCTGAGTACCTGTCCTCCCATGAAAATCCAACTTCAAAATTCCTAACACCTTATGAAAGATTAATGAATTTATATGTCCACTTTCTAGTTTACATTTTGCACGTGATTAAGTCCTGTATTACACAGGGCTAGTGCCAGTAACAAGCATGKTCAGCATGTACAGATGCAAATCTATATTACTGTGAAAATAACATACTTTGAGTTACATGAGCTTTCTGCTCTTTACAATTCAGCGCTCAACTGCTTTGAATAATAACTTTTCAGTCTTTTGCTCCCCCTTTTCAGATTTTTTTTTTTTAAGAGTTAAGTCTATCACTGTCAAAACAAGCAGAAATGCCTGCTGAGAAATGGTCACATCTCCAACCGACTGCGTGAAGAATTATTTTTCTGATTCATCACAGCATTATTTTTTCAAGTTGTCAAAACAAACACCACACCCTCTCGATTTCCGAGTTCTGGGTAATTATATTTAGAATTAGCGAGTACCGCGCAACTATTAATCACACAATGCTTAGCCCTTACTTTACCTATTTAGAGATCAGCCAACGCATTCAAACGCTGCCTGTTTAGCATTTGGTTTAAGATCTCCCCTCATCTCTGCTCTGTAGCACAGACACACTGAATATAGGGCAGGCCAAGCAGTCGATCCCTCTGCCCCAGGGCAGGATCAGCTCCTGCTCAGCCATTATCGCTGATGATACACAAGAACTGGTTATTTCAGGCAGCAGCTTTACACACGCACTCACAAAACACATTATAAATTAAAGGAGGGAAGCGTGTCGCACGTCTGCAGTGCCTTAAAGTGGGACAAGGCACAAGCCGGTCTCCAGCAGACAAAAAATACAAATAGAAGGTTCCCCAACATGCGAGTCCGGATTTTCTAAAAGTAGGATYTGGCAAGGTTAACGCCGCTGCCTTTGGAAACAGTTCACCTTGTTTAAACTGGCTGAACCACCCCGTGATTATCACCGAGCCTCCATTAAGATGACACACACAAACAGAGCCCTCGCAAAGCTTAATTACTCTTTTCGCTGCTCGTACACCGCCAGACGAGCACTTTTTCACATTCCTCCCCTTCCCCTGTGGCAGCAGAGGAGCAGCTGCCGCAGCGAGCGCGGGGCTGTCACGGTGGCGGGGCCGGGACCCGCTTGCCCTGCCCTGCCCTGCCCGGCCCGGCCACCCCGGACCCGCCGAGCCCCGCCAGACCCTGCCCGGGCTCGGGGCACAGAGCCCCCATTGTGATCCGGGCGCTGCTCGGTAGCGCCGGTACCGCGGCTCGGCCCGGGGCACCGGGCAGGACGGGGCAGCACCGGCAGCAGGAGCCGCGGCCACAGCAGCGCTCAGGAGCTCCCGCCGTCCTGCCGCCCACAAGGCCGGCCGAGGRGCCGCGTCCGCCCCGCACGACACCCGGCACGAAGCAGCACTCACCGCCGCCACCTCCGCCACCCTCTTCGTCCATGTTGGGACCGCGGGCAGGGCGCTCCGCGGCTCAGGGAGGCCCGGGGCTCCTTCCACTCGCTCGGCGCCTCGCGGCYGCTCCTGYTCCYTCTTCTCTTCCTCCTCCTSTTTCTCCTTCTTCTCTTTTTCTTCCTTCTCCKCYGCTGCTGCTACTACCGCCGCCCCGTCGCTCCCCGCCCAGCCCTGCCTCAGCCCCGGCAGCCGCCACCGCCTCGGCCCAGCCGCCCGCCCCTCTCATGTGACCCGCGGAGGGCGGAGGGGAGGCGGCCCCGCCCGGCCCTCAGAGCCGCCCCCGCGCACCGGGTCCCCCTCAGGATCCCCCTCAGGATCCCCCTCAGGTCAGCGCCCGGCCGAGCCCTGCGGCGGAGCGGAGCAGAGCTTTCCTCCCTCCCTCCCGCCTGCCCTTCGCGGTGTTCCCTCACCCCCTGTGCGGTGTTCAGCGCCCTGAAGCGATGGGGGCTCTCGGGGATCGCTCGGCAGCGACGGCAGCCTGGGCCCAGTCACTTGGGTTCATGTCGGTTAGGATCCCGTTTTGGGGTCTGCAAGAGCCAGAAATCATCGGCAGAGCCCCTGATTCTTTTGTGGGGGTCTAAAGATTCCTTTGAGGATTTAAAAAGGACCAGGGGGAGAGCGGGAGGAGACTGGAAGATGAGGGCTGAGCTGGCCTGAAGCAGCGCAGTGAAGGGGGATGAGGTGTGTTGAAGTCTCTGAAATAGCCCGAGATATCTGATATTCCTGCATGTTTTYTGCTGATTCTTTCTTGCTCCTTGCTCTTGGGTCCAGTGCTTGGAAGGGCGCTGGCTGTTCCCCCTGCCACAGGGGTCACGGAGATCCTGGTGTAGAAATGGGACTGTGCCCCATGGAATGGAGGGGTTTGTGCTGCTGAGCATTGTCTTTGTGGGTAAAAAAGAACTCTCCTGTTTACTGCCCTAGGAGCCATGTGTGGGATTTCTCTAACCTTCAGTAAAGATGTTCAGTGAGTTACCTACCATGTCAGCAGCCTCCAAAGTCTGTAAAGGTAAGCAGAAGTCTACTGGCGCACACCATCCATCCTTCCTTCCTTCCTTCCTTCCTTCCTTCCTTCCTTCCTTCCTTCCTTGGCACCGCCTCTTATTATTTTTTTAAAACCGTTCGTGTCAAAATTTTATTCAGAAAGGAAGCTGTGAGAGGAAAGGGTCAGCCAACAGGAAAATAGCAGGGTTTTCATTTTCCTTTTGTGGGCTGGCATGGGACGGAGCACTCACCTCTTAACACTGCTGATAATAAATGATTATAGCAGTCCATTTTGCTGGGAGCTGAGGTTTGGCTCTGACAGCTGCTCTGGTGATAAAGTGTTTCACCTCATCTAAAAATCTTAAACCTTTAAAATACTCGTCTTCGTCTTTCATATTTGAAATTAAATATTGCTAGAAGTTTAGTAAGTTAGTTATAAAAAGGATACGATTACATAAAACAGAAGCATCACCTTGGTAAGAGATTTCTTTTGAAATGTATGTCTATAAAGTGCCATTAGAGGATGGTTTAAAATAAGTCAATGCAGATGAACTGACAGTGGGCTCTGAGTATTTTTGCACACTGAGCAAACTGTTCATTTACATTAGTGGGGAATCTGGTTCATGAGAAAAATTCTAATTTTATAATTGATCACAGATTGTTKGCTTTAATTTCATTTGTGTTGTTTTACACCTTTATATAAAGTATATGGTTTTGTGTTCTTGTTTCTGTTTGTAAGTGTTCCTTYCTGCCTTCCTCCCTCCCTCTCCTATTACACTTTTGCTTCAAGGAAAATTCTAGTCCAGGATAAAAAAGCCTAATCTAATTCTAATAGCAGGGGAGAGTGAAGTGTGGAGAACGATCCTCCTSCCACCTGTTCAGTGCAAAACTCCTGTTGACTTCATGGAAGCAAYACTAGTTTTAAAACTCTCCAAATTAACAGCAGAGATAAAAATAATTTTGTGATGCAAGGAAGACAGGAAAAACGTCTATCCTAGTTACAAGTGATCAGATGCGGTGTTTTATAGAAACTTCTTGGTGAAATCCAATTCAAAACTCATGAGATGTAGAAAACTTATCTTTATTATACCTTCATTATTAACTTGAACAGTTGAGTTTTCAATATTTTGCCTYAGTGAATATGTAGCTCACTCTGTTTTAACTCTGGAATATATGTCATTAATTATCCTGTCAAGGAGAATCTGTTCTTTCCAGTCCTGCTTTMGTGTGATGACTTATTAATGACACATAATACAAAAAGAGCATTGAAATGACAGTGTTCACTTCAAGGCCGTGTGTCTTTGAAAGGATGGGGATGAATCCTTAAAACATTTCCATTCATGCTGTGCATATTATAAATAGACTCAGTTTTGCGTGGGCCTGATCYTGCAAGTGTTCTAAGCATAAAACTGTTAGTTCTGTGTACAAGGTGCTTTAGTGGACAAAGCTCTTTAATCTGTAGGTGGGATATGTCATTGAAACTTTTAAGATCAAACCTTTCACTCTGTTGCCTCATTTTCCCGTGTATAAATTAAAGCTCATGTCTGGCTGTAAACCTAACTAGGTCAGGAATAGTTTTTTTTGAAAATGTGTAAAATCAAGTAAAGAATTACAGTCACAGTTGTACATCGTAGCTGTAGCAGTTCTACCMTAGCAGAACTCCTCCCTGGTTTTTGGCAATTCAACTGTTACAACACCACTGTCATTAAATACAGGGTAGTKCCTTACCAACAAAGGAAGCAATACAGGTTACAATCTCAGCAAATTCTAAGACAAACTCAAATAAATTATTTCCTACTCACATGAATAATTCTGTCGTATCTTCTTTGTTTTCTGTAATTTGATCATCTGTTTTGAAGTACGTAGGAATTTTGATTTTTCTTCATGTTGTAGGGAGTTTCAATCAACAGTTTGCTCAAGATTGCTTGATATTTTTTTCCTTTCTTGCAGTGTCTTCTGTAGTTTTAGCTCTATTTTTACCACCAATATGTTTTGCCAGTTTCATATCCACAAGTCTAACCTTCTGTCTTGGAAGAACTTCATAGTCTGTCATTCATGTAAATAATAGTCTAATAGCTGGTCTGTTGAAATTATTTTCAGTGGAAAATTGGGCTCTCTCCAAAAACTGCTGTTGGCAGAGTCGATTCCTCAATGATGAATGTGGTTACTTGCTGAATTTTCAGGTAATACACTTCGTCTTTTTATTTTTTGTCCCTCTTTGGATAGTTTAGTAACTGCTTTGATTCAGTTTCCACTAAGAAGCAATTTATCATGTCATTTTTCATTTTGAAGTTCAGGAGCACATCTGTTATGGCATTTGCCATTACACGGAGAGTCAGTGAAGACAACTRAAACCCTGACAATCACATTTCTGTGGTCTATAAAGCTCATTAAATATGAAACCATTTCCGTGGGTTTCAGTTTGAACCAGATTCCAAGAGTAGTGAATGAAAATAAAAATTTTATGATTATAGATTTCATAAAGTTTTTATTTCTAATCAAAAGCATGAGCTATGAAGATGTTCATGTATGGATAGCGGTATTGTGTTCAAGGATAAGAAATAAAATTCTGAATTTTCTCAGTGCAGAAAGAAATAAACTGTTGGGCTGTCAGACTGGATGTCAGTATCAGCCACAGGGAGATGGAATAATGGTCCTTCCTGTTGGAAGGAAGACTCTTTGAAATATTATTTAAAAAGGTGGTACCTTCATGTGGGTATTCCCATTTTGTGTGTTCAGGCAAGACATCACTAATTTGCAAATCTAGCTTACTGTTAGATTTCTGTTAGATTTGGGAAGAAGGATAGTTACCCTTAAGGAGAACAGTTAATCTTAGAGACATGAACATCTGTACAGTCTTAACAATRAATTCTTAAAGAATATGGATCTATCCCAAAGAATACAGATACATCTTAAACCATACAGATGTTGTGCAGTGTTTTATAATCTAGAATTGTTTGGTTGATTTTACAACTTGGTCCCACAGATGCTCTCACATTTATAGAAAAATGGTGCAAACATTACATTTCCTAAAMCAGTATCTTGTTCATAGAATCACTGCCAATGATACCCAGCTGTTGTATTAAAGAATACTTTTGTTTCAAATCTAGACAGTTTTTATTTTTTAAGAAGCATTGCTTAATAGTTTCCATGCAGGAAAGTCTTAGTCCATCAGCATGTCCTTTCTTCCCCTTTTTTTCTTTTCCCCAAATTTATCAGTACTTCAATAATGTGGTATTCTTAAACCCCTCAGGCAAACTCTTTGACTTCCTCTGCCTGGCAGATGGGTTTTAGCCATGGATTGTTTCTTAAAATGTTTATGTTGTCACACAWACAATATTTTTCTCAGCTGGAAAAACATTTTTAGAGAAAATCCTATTTGCTGCTTGTCTCAAAGGTTTCAAAAGTGCTTGTACCTTTCATTTAGGCCAAAAAAATTTTACATGCAGGTATTTTATATTGCTTTGGGGAACATCAAAGCTAAAGCTTAGCAAGTCAAACATCTTTCATGAATGGTGCTTTTTTRTATGGATAGGAAGCTAGTTCCATTAAAACAGTCCAAAACCCCAAGAATAAAGATACCTCTCTTCTAAGAATTTTGCAGGGGTGTCTTTCAGGTTGGCTTTGAAATCGTATTCTGAATTTTATTTGCAGTTTATTTTAAATTCCTATTCTTGACACATTTGAGTGTTTGTGGTTTTTTTAAGATTTCTAAATGAGCTTTATCTGCTCCTAGCATCAAATATTACTGGTTTTGGAAGGCAGTGCTTGTTTCCATTGTGTAACAYTGATAGGGCCACTGGTGAGTCATTGAGGAAAAAACACCAGAAAGTCCCAGTGAGGAAAACCAAATGCATTAAAAACGGTAAAGRTCCACCACCTCTGTAATGCTCCTGATCTGAAATACACTTTGCATTAGAACTTGTTYTACCTGTTATTAATTATGCACAGTACTAGACAAAACCAGGATGCTTTCTGGCATGAAAGCTGGGCCTAAAATAACAGAAAAAGAGGACTTGGATTCAAAGAACATGGCCTGAAACGGACCATGAGTGGAATTTTGCATGAAGCTTGAGAGGGTTTTTCTGTCTCAGGAAAGTGAAAGAASTTGATGTAAATCAACTCTCAAAGGAGAGTGTGCTGATTAAGGCCAGACTGTTCCCACCCTGAGAAGTAGCCACAGTCTGAATTCCCCTCTGCTGGCTAACTCCACCTTGGCACGGTTAGATGGATTCTCACATACCACTCTGCAGTCTCACCAAGGCCTGGGAATTGAAAATTCCAAATTCATCCTACAGTGGGAGCTGGAGCTGGGCTGCAAACCCTGCATGAGTTGTGCTCTGGCTGCATGCACATGGAAGCAGCTGATGGATGGAGCCCCTGCAGTTCCTCAGCCATGCCCAGGCTGGCATCCCCTGGCATTTGGGGCAGCTCATGGCACAGAGTGTTAGAAGGGTCACACCTGGTTCACCAGGGARGGAAATGAGTGGCATATCTCCACGTGAGCTGGCTCAGATCTTGCTGCTGGCTAGTCAGCACTGCACAAATCTGGGTTTAATAAAKACGGAGCCATAAATTCAGACAGGAGCAGGAACTGGCAACTAATGATCTTGACTTGTAGTGGCCTCTGAGCTGTTTGTGCAGCTGTTCGTGAAGCCACGCTGTAAATCAGATCACTCAATCCAGATTTTTAAAGTTTTGTCTAATCTTAATAATTTTGAGCCAGAATTGCTCCATCGATGAAATTCATGCTCTGGTCCCACAAACAGTTGCATTGGCACCATTGCAGYGCTGGTGGATGTGACACACAGACAGTATGGAAGGAGGAAGGGAGGCTGCTGGATTGTAAATTTGTCTTTGGGGCCAATATCCCTGCATAATTCTTACCTTATTCTCAACCACAGACTCTCCATCAGGTTCATTTTCAGATCCCTCATGCTCAGCCCTTCTCAAACTGAGCCCATACTCAGGCTTACAAGCTCTTTAGTGTCTCATCTATGCAATACTAGATCATCTAATGGTAATAAATGGATGGAGATTAAATATGAACATGTAATTGCATTCCTCTCAAGGCTAGCCAGCTGTGAGTTCCAGTGTTTAGACCAGGCCTTATCCTGCCTTGTTACTGGCAGCAGGAAGATAGATGACATCAACCCTTAACCTAAAACCATCAGGAGGAAAATCACTCTCCAGTCCTTGTTTTTGAGGGGTTTGGGTTTTCAATAACTTTGTACTGCTGGATTGAATTTATACAAAAAATTTCATGCCACATTGCCATCCACWAATTAAATCTATTGCGTCATGAGATTGCAGTTGCATACTGGTGAGAGTAGGCTTTCAGTTACTATCATAGGTTATTTTTGAATACACCAGTTGAGCCCAGGGGAAAGGGGATGATTCTTTGTTAAAAGGTGATGTATAGTATTTTAAATTCTTATGGTCTCTGACCAGGGAGGATGCCCATTTACTTCAGCTGTTGCAGTTAGAAATAAACACATGGGTTTRTTAGGCAGAAAAACATCACTTAAATCCTTACCCTCTCATGGYTATATATGCTGTTTTATACCTTTCAAATCCTCATGGATGTAAGAAAAATCCCATGCACATCTATACCAAATAAAAGGGGTTTTGCATTTTCTTACCATAATTGAAGTGCACTTTCAATTTAAAAAGCAGATCTTCACCTTAATTGTCTTTCTCCTGCTATATTTCTCTTTACAGTCTTAAAGAAAGAAAAACTCTGTCTAGGTAAAAGAAGATGTTAAGCAAGGGAGACTCAAAACTTGGCAAAGGCTAAAATAAAGAATTTTTCCAAGGAAATGAAGGAGACAGGTCAAATTAATTCCTTGTATAACTCCATTTACCTCAGTACAGCTACAGGAAGGATGAATTTGGTACCTTATACCTCTGTGGTCAGAAAAAGATTTCTGTGATCTCAATCAGCACAGTATAAAATARTAATTCTTAAGAAAAAGAATTGTCATTTAAGTCTGGTAGAACTGGCCTTGTTATTTTTAGTCTATTAATATGATTGTAAAAGAACAATAGGTCTACAGAACAACAAAAAAACGGCTTCATAAAAAGATTATTACATGATGATTTGTAGCTTACATCCTTAGTAACTTCTTTTGTAGGGAAGAGGAATTCATGACAGTTTGCTAAAATGGGCAGGGACATCAGGAACAGCTTCTCTTTCTTTTAAGTTCAGCAGCTTTTCTCCAGTTTGCTCTATTGCAAGTTAAGCGTTTTCCTTCCAATCTTACTCTTCTCCTCTGACCACCCCTAATTCAAATTCTCCTTCCCCTCAATATTCTCTGGGTTCTGCTGTGTGTGCAGGGGTCTGTGTGGCTTCTCTTTACTGATGAGTTTTTCAGATTTTTCTCCTCAGGCAGAAATATTCAGCCCCTTGGGGCAGATAAAGGAGAGATGTTTGGCCTCTGCCATAACTTCATTTTAGATTTTAAATTTCAAAATGTCTAAATTTGAGATGCTTTAAGATGYTCACTGAGACCCCAGCCTTCACATGCCAATATCTTGAACTCCAGTGTAGCTGTACCCAGAGATTATTTCCATTTTAAAACRTTCTTATGAAACATCACCCCTGCCTCTCCACCCCACCACCAAATTCAGGAAATACTTTTCATATCAATGTTGAGATCATTTAATACTGTAATATGAAAGCATTCATGAAGTATATTAGTGTAATGAAATTTAAGTCAACAGTCTGTYTTTTTCATCCTTACCAACTTGCAACTATCAGTTTTAATACAGAGGAAAGTGTCTGTGTATACAAGCATATAAAAGATGTGAAAATACAAAGGCATTTATTGAAAACAGACAAAACCAGGAAGATGATAAAATAGCAGAAGGAAGTGGCCTCACATATAAAAACTTTTGCTTTGTATAGCAGAATTTATCACTGAAAGCTCAGGCTGGCAAATTGCCATGCTTTGGCCTAAACAAGGAATGTAACATCAAAAAAATTTGGCTTGGTGTACAAAACACAATAGACACATTTGAAACAATAATGTCCTACAAAGTAATTCAKTTAAACATTTTTTGTTTCCTTTTAGTGTGTATCTTTAAAAGTTTCATTATATTTTCAAATAGCAGAAAACTCATTTGCACAGATCTCCTCTTAAGGATGTCTGCATCGATTCGGTGTGCTATTCTGCAGGATATATGAAATTCCCAAATATCCAAAATTAAATGAAGGTGGAGCTGTATTTTGAAAGCAAATAATTTTATTTCAAAATAGTGGAGCTATTAAAGCATGTTTTATAAAAAAAGTTATTCACTGTGCTGCAGTTTTAATGCACAAAGCTGCTCAAGTAAACGCGGACTGCTCAGTGTTTTCACACTGGATAAAGAATGTGTTTTTTAAATAGACTCTGCTCCTTTTCTTTTTATGTTTGTGGGGMAAAAAATGAAAGCATTAGGGAATAACAGTACAGTTATGCCTGAAAGACTTGGACATAAAAGTCTTTGAAATCTGCTGTTGATTGAGAACAYTTCAAAAGCATGAGAATCTGGGGTATTTAGTTCAGTTCTTGTCCCAGCTGAGAACAAACGAATTCTTTTGTGCAAGGATGTTCTGCCCCTGGCCTGCTGAGCATTCTGCTGTTCCTGCTGCAAGTGCTGCCCAGTAGAACATGGAGAATGAGCACAGCTAAAGTCTCATGACTAACAAAACCATGGCCTTGCTCTTTATCCATAAGGCTTTTCCAGAGCTCAGCAGGTATGAAAGACTCCAAACCTGAAAAACAAGATGGCAGATAACTACAATTAAAACAAACGTAACTTTGTCAACATCYTAATCACATTTGCAAGATAAATACRTAGCCAAGTACTAGTTATGTTCTTAARTACTGTCTCATTCACAGTTAAAACCTTTTCATCATGTTGACAAGGGTGGTTATCTCCTCCATACATTAAATAATTCCATGAAGTGTTTTTAGGTGTTTCTTCTGTTCGAATCTCCAGTGTTCTGATTGCTTCTGTGGAATTTCCATATTTACTCTCTACAAAGTACAGTTGCCTGGCAGTTCTTTTTCAACCTGCTGTTTTTTCCTGAAATGGTCTGGGCTTCCTGCATAATTTGTACAAAGCTTTCCTTTCTATAAATGTCATTTTAATTTTGTTTTAGTAAAGCTGAGATATACTGATACAAGTTAAAAAGACAGAAATTCTTCACGTTCTTAAGTTGAAATAATTAAATGCTGCCTTGAAACTATTAGGAGATAATATTGGTTTTATTAGATTATGAAACTGCACGTAATGAGAGATAAATGCAGATAAATCAGTCTTCTCAGAAATCTAAACAACTAATCAAGAAAAGATGTTGTTCCAGAATGCTGGCTATAGGCAACAGCAATGAGTAAAGCTGTATCTTTATTACAGTGGGCTTTGGGAAGATCTATATTAATTCCAGAATAATACAMCAGCAAAGACAGGTGTGCTTTTACCATGCTTAATGCAGCACCTACGGCTACACACTTGGGGTGTGTTTCCATTCTTTCTCCTGCACTTTTAATCATTTATGGAAAGCACTTAGGAGAAATTTATCCTTGATCTAAACAAGCAGATATTAACACATGTGTATGTTTATATAGAAGAGTTTGTGTACAGTTATTACATGCAGTCAGGAAAACTAAAATTTGCTATTTTATGTTAATGAAATGCTCTTTTATCTCTAGTTTGCAATATTAGAGCTATGCTGGGAGCATGATGGGCAAAAGACTCCCTGAATGCTGCTCCAGAGCTGCYTGGACATCCTACCTTGGTTTCAGTCCAGTTTTGAACAGAGGTTTTGTCCACTCTTATCCAACAGTCAGTTGAATAACGGGAACTCTTTCATTTCTTACAGAGCCCCTTTGTAACAGTTTAGACACAAAATCCACCTTTGAGTTTACAGTCAGTTACTTCGTGYAGTTTATGTGAGAATGTGTAAAAAGCAGTAGTGGGTTTAAAGCTATGTAAAAAGCCRTATCAAAAGCTGTTATCAATTTGATTGTTCAAATAAAATAGCGAATTTTATAAACCAGAATTCCTAGGAGTTTCCTCTTACCTGACCACCCATATGCTATAGCTTGAGACATCATGTGTTTTATTTCTATARTTCTTGGTTGGTAAATGCTGTCTCCTTTTTTTGAGATAATACACTGAAAGATTGCTTCTGTGTGAGGAGTACAGTATTTGGAATGTATGCAATGAATTTCAAGGCCCTTCAGGAACATGTTWTTGTCTCAATTGAAAGGCTGGGAAGATTCTCATTGACTCTACTGGAAGTAGACCTGCACTTTTAACCCAGACTAAATTTAATGATGCTCCCATCAATCACCCAAGTGCAGGCACTGTAGCTCAGCTCACAGCAGCAGATCCTCAGCTACAGAGCTCTGATTAAGTCAACAGGGCAAGACATCAGTACTGATCTTGTGTGATTGGATTACAGGATTGGAGCTGTGATTTGTCCTACTGAAACCACTCTAAGGTACTTAAACAGATAAATCCTACTATCAGATTTCTTTTCTTATTGATTACACTTTCTGAAATGCAAAGAAAAAAAAAAMMAMCCCMAAMWAAAACTCAAACCAAAAAAACACCCAACCTTGCTTTCTCCACATAGTTCTGCATTGTGATAAGGTACATGTAGGGCTGGAAGGACAACAAATGTGATGAAAYTGCTCAAAAATCCATTCATGAACCCCTACAATTCCTTCTGGATACTTTATGAAAATATATTAGAATTATCTGTAAATGGAGCAAGTAGCAAAAAAGCTTGATGGATTGACTGTAACAAAATACCCAGTGATGAAAAGCTCTGCAGACTTCTGCTTGCCAGCATTGGCAAGTCGTGTAGCTAAATAGAAGGAAAGCAGAAGATACAGCTATCAACTGCAAACGAATGATTATAAACCAGAAAGAAAATGCGAGGAAGAGCTTTGAAAATTATGATTGACAGTGACAACACAGACCAGACAGCTTTTATTTTAAGCAGCAGATTGCTGAGAACATACACCGTGAGTCAAAGTGAAGGACTTGAAACCTGCTATAGTCTGTACAGATGTTCTCACTCAGAAAGCAGCTAGAGGGAACAGAAGATAAAAGAAGGCTGTCCAACTTCAAAAAAGGTTTGAATTTGCATTCTGTTTTGACAAGTTTTTGTGCTAGTCTGTGGTTTTCAGGATGGTAGAAAATTCAGCWTCTACAAACCTGACCTAAAGGGAGAAATAACTGAAGGGGTACAAACGAACCCTTAAAAAGGTGGTGTACAACATCATAAAATGGGTTTTGTTGTTTTAATCTTAAATGCATTTCTATTGAAGGGGCAGAAATTGGAAATGCTGTAACTGTTGTAGCTCTGGAGCAGGTCATACGTGCTGGCAGTCAGCGTGCAGTACTCGGAATGCAAGGCTGAGATCTGAGAGGTGATTTAGGGATCCCTGCTGGAGAAGTGATTTTTTCATGATACAAAGCAAGGCAGGATCACTGAGCTCAGAGGGGTTATTTGTGAATAACTTCCAGCTAAAGTGATTAAGGGCTTTAGCCACTAGCCCCAGAAAAAAAWCCAAAAGGGCATCAAAAACATCCTGCTTGTCATTGCTGCTGGCTTTTTGCTCAGTGAGCAAGAGGTCTCTGTTGGTTTTGGTCCTTTGCCCTTGGGGACACTTTTAACAAAACATCATACTTGAAAGAATTCCAGAATGTGTTTGTTTTTTTTTCTTTTCTTTGAACTACGAGGTTAAAGATAAATAAAGGAGTATTTTGATATGTGTAAAARATACTTGTGATAACAAATAGACAAAGGACTTCCTAACGTTCAAGACTTACAAGTGCTTTTTACAAACACACCACAGTTCTTGATTAAAGAAACCCCATCCAATACTTTTCTTTTTTAATGGAAGTTAAAACACTCCATCCACTTTTTAAAAATCATCTTTTTAAGAAGTGTGAATGTCTTCAGCAGAATCTTTGGTACTTTGAGGTTTTGGGGTTTTTTAATTTTAAGCTGCTATAACACCTGCCAGAAAAAGCAAGAGCTACGAAATTACTGAAGAGATAAATGTTGTGATGAGTGTCAGTTGTTAAAATGTTCCTCTGGCAATCTCAGATTTGCAGAGAGGAAATTTGGCCTCCTGTACAGATGAGTTGTTCTTACAATTTTGCAGTATGAGATGAACAAAGGGATTACCACAAAGTCATAGGCCACCAACTTGAATCCAACTTCAAAGCAGTTCAGATCCTAATAGGAAGAGATTTGGATATGCACACAGTAGCATGTCTRTTCCTGAGTTTATTTGCAAAAGTATTCAGAGTTCCTTAAGAGCCCCCATCTCTCAAATTTTACCTCTGAGAAAGCCACTCACTGTCTTTATATTGACAGAAACACAATCTCTTTAAGTACATCTGTGCAATTTACGCCGTGAAAAAATGGAATGAGAAGCACCAAAACCAGCTCTTGTCTTTTAAAAAAAGATTTTTATTTCTGTTTTTAAATAGCTCGACAAAACCCATCCATTGGTACTCAGAGTTCAGTTGTAAACAGTTACAATACATTACTGCTGTGTATTGATTTTGTACATGAACAAATTGCAGTGACAATCCATGAAATGCACTGTACTGGGATGTACTGACAATGCCATAACTGAAAATACTCCAAAGACTGAAGTGGAACTCCCTCCTGTGGTGTGACTGAGCAGCATCACAGCCAACACTTCTGGCAGCTTGTATTTCAGTCTCTATTCACCTCTTCAAGTTTCAAGTCTACTATGGAAACTTCTCTCCCAAGGTAAAAGTGTCACAAGAAATTTTTAAAATACATACAAAGTTGTAAACATCTTTCTCTGGAACGAAAATAAAAAAAAATGGTTTGTGCCAGCCTTCTCCATCTCGCACATTGCATTCAAGAAACAATGGTAATAAAATGAAAATAGGGCCAAAGACCAAGGCTGTAGACTAAAATTGTGTCTGCAGGGATAACATCACAGTTTACAGGAAGTGTTGAGTATCAGCATTGAAAATCAGTCACCAGCAGGCAGCAGAACCCATCTTCAAGAAAGCTCATGGAACACTCAACTTCCAGTGATGAATCAGGCACTAAATATTAGATTTCCCTACTTGTAAGGACAAAAGCTTAAATTACATCGAGATACTATGTTTGATAATAGCTAAAATTGACTRCAAACAGAAAATTAAACACTGATACTTCTGCAAGTTTGGGGTTTGACCATTTCTGCTATCAGGTTTATACAGATTTTCCATGAAGAGGGAAGAAATTTGCAAAACAGATTATAAATATATAGAGATCACAGAAATAAAGTGGATCTTTTCAAAGCAGATTTTTTTTGTGGAAGTCCCTCTGGTCAAAATGTTTTGGCTTTTCAACTTACTTCATCATCAACAATGAAATAACCATYTCAGTCTGAATCTTGTATCACTAATTCCAAAAAGACTCAGATAATTGAGATTTTGGGATGCAGTAGAGGATTAATTTCAAAGTACAATAGGATTTGCTTASTGCAGGCTGGTAAAGGATAGCATTATTCTAGCACTTCAGTACTTTTCACACTGTCAGCAGATTGATATCTATGATCTTGTAATTTAAATAGGAGATTTGTTCATGAGWATCAGTATTTTCACAGGCAACATTTGGTTTATTTCAGATTTCTATCAAATGCAGCTCTTCCTTGAGGATTAGTAGCTCTGCAGTCTAAAAAGGGGTTTTCCCCCTCAGTTACTGACTGTGCATCACAGAAACAAGTGTCAGAACACATTTTATTGTGCCTTCTTAGGGAAAAGAAAGTTTCAAAATATTCATGTGAATTTACTTTTAATTTTTTGAAAAGTTACACTCTCTAAGTTCAGACATTAATGTATTTTGTAAGCCCCAAATTCTACTGCAATTCTCAGCTGACAGAGGTATCACAAATTCAAAGTAAATATTGGATTTTAAATAAAGCAGCTGTTTTGAAGAGAAAAAAAGCAGAAATACATCACACTGACTACCTATTTCTCTGTCAGTACACTCCAATGAAAGACTATGGACTCTTACATCTCTACATGGTTTCTGTCTATTTGTTGTGCATAATTAATTACAGGGCAATGTTTCTGAGGTGGAACAAAGTATCAAATATGCTTATGCTAAAAATTCTAGGGAGAGCAATACATGTAAGACCAGGCCATAAAAACAAAAGGAGCACCCTGACAATAAGATTATATATTAATAGAGTACATACAGGCTTGCTTCTTCCAAAAATTATATGTGTATACCTTCAGAGGCAAAGGTGGAGAGAAGGAAAAGGAAGCAAACTTTGGCRAAGTTTAAGAAAGTGCAGTCTTTGTACTCCTAAAAATAACTTYAAAAAAAAAGAGAAACCACAAATGAAACAAAAGAACAAACCGCCAAACCTCAAACAGCAACAAAACCAAACCCAACACTGMAAAAGCAAAAGGTTAAAAAACGTCTACAGCTGGAACTGTCTCCTGTGCAGGACGATGCAGACACACGATTGCTAAGATTGCACTGGCTAAAACCACACAGARAAGTAACACCACCATCTCTACTGCATTTTGCACTGCAAAGGAAGAAACAAGCATTTGCATAAGCATCCCAACATCATACTGTGGTAAAACACTTTTTATCTACATGCAGAGCTCTGTGCATACACATTTAAAAGTATATTTTCTTTTCAAAGCAGTACACCATATAGTAAATTTTCACTCAAGTGTAGCTACTAGGCAATTCTCTAAATATTGAGTATTTTCTTACTTGTTTCCTAATGGCAGAAATAAAACTCTGATATGTAGTACAGGAAGGATCTGGACACTAATGAGTGAAATTTTAGAAAGCACAAGTTGTTTAGTAGAACCCTGACATTTTGCTTAGAAATAACCTCTTTCTAGGGCAGGATGAGAGACAAAAATACAGAAATACRAAGGCAACTCCTGGTTGAGTATAAAGGTCCCTTACCCCTACTAAGAATGTTATTTTTCTGTACTATAATAATCATCTGAGGCAGTCTCAGCCCTAACAGCACATTAACTCAAAAAGTTTTCCACGTTGGRTGTAGTGAAGCCATGAAACTCCACACAAAAGGGTTGTTGGCCAAGACACCTTCCATCTTTTGAGATGAGTTAAAATCAAAACATCTGCAGGAAGAGAACAGGCCTAAACCATATCGTGTTAGATGTATCTATAGTTCCAAAGGATGGATGCCATCCTTCAGGTTCCCTATTCTCCCTCCAGACAGGAAAAGCCATTTATTTAAACGTTGTYTCTGTCAGGGCAGACAGTTCCATTAGTGCAAGAACARCTTTYCATCCATGGCCACCCCAGGCTTAAAGTGCAGTACATTACGTGAGATTTTAACATACCAAACTATCCTTTATTTGAATTTCAGAAGGAATGTTCAAGTTAAAATTACCTTTTAGGTTTTACGCAATAAAATTCAAGGCAAGGTACATAAACTATCTTAAAATTGATTAAATCCRCTCATTTAAGACATATTCTTTGTATCTTATGTTCAATATACATATAATACACAACAAGCATCCATCATTTCACTTAGCTGTATTGTATTTAGAGTGATCCTGTAATAAGTGATGAAAGGCCACRGACTGAAACAAGATTTTGCTTAAAAAAAACTGTATTAGCTGGACTGTGACACCTAACACAATTCAACATTCTGAGATCTCCTGGATAGGCTTGTCATTGATCAGGAGCAAACCCTGGCACTCTGCTGTACACACATTTAAATTCTACTTTACTGGTGGTGTGTCTCACATTTCATTCGTCCCCCATCCCTTAAAATCACCATGAAAAGCAGGWGCATTAAAAACTGGATTGGTGCTTTTGTGCCTTTAGCTACTCCTGCTGCCTGTTAACCTGACAATCTCAGCACAAGTTCTTGTGTAGAACTGTGGTTCCCAAAACATGCAGTTCCCAAATGACAAACAGCAGAGAATGTTCCAGGCCCAAGCAGTCAGCTGCACAAACAAGGTCTCAAGTGACAACTGCAGGAACAGCTGTGCCAATTGATCCTTTGTGCAGGAAGCCCAAGCACTCGAGTTTTGGGTGCAGGACTGTGTTCATGCACAGCTTAAGGCTCACCATACAGGGAGAGTGTGGCTTTACCTATGGAGCTGCTTAGAGTTGAACATGGAGTTGCACAATGCTGTCTTTAGCAATCAAGCCAGCTTAAACAAGCTCCAACYCTTCCCTGCCTTCATTCCTCTGCCCTCAGCTCTGCCAAGTGTTTCTTTGGGTCAAGACACAGGCAGASAGCAGCTTAACACCGTAACTCCAAGTCACAGACTTCTGCAGAAGTGATTTTGTTTCTGGAATTTCAGATCCACATCACTTCAAGAATCTTGACCCTCTGCAATACCCAGTGTTAACTCGTGTTAGTACCACTCACTGCAAGGCTGATAAATTCCAGACTGAATGCTTGACTTCCAGGGAACTGTTGTTGTCAGAGTAATTACTTACAATACATAATCCAGTATTATTCTGGGGCTTTCAGTCACTTTGTGACAGGTAATTGCATGGTCAAAAGTCTGCAAGTTAAACAATCATTTAAAKACACACCAGGGAAAAAGTTCTTTTCTAAATTGAAGTAAGTGACTTTTCATCTCTTTTAGCATCCAAAAGGAACAATCAGCCAATGGGGAWAACGAAAACCCAACATATCATTTTACATAAAAAGTAATAGATCTTATTTTCAGCAGTCAAAATTTTAAAATTCCAGCATTTCTCCCCATAACACTGATAACCAGCATCTCATCTTCATAAAAAAGGACTTCTCTACGCCTGTGTGCTAACAGCCCAATAAACACCACACTGGAAACTCTACTGGCTTTCCAAGCAAAGTTTTTCCAAGTTCAAACTAACTGCAACATCACCACCTCTTTCCCAGATGAACCAAGACCAGCTGGCAAAAAGGATACCTCGTGTGTGAATTACTGGCATGGCTTTACTCCACACTGAGTCCTCACTTTTAGGTCAGAGTGAAGGGGAAGCTGATAATGCATCCTAACTCACACACCAATGCCTCCTTCTTTACGTGTCCTTTTAGAGCACACCAAGCCCATCTACAGCAATGCCCTCATTGAGAATTTTGGACATTGAGTTCAAAGTTTGACCTACTGCACAATGAGTTTCTCCACKGAAGTGCCAACAGGAGCCTATTTCTCCAAATTCTATTCACCAGCAGCTCTATGGATTCTAGCATTCTTGCCCCATTCTTTGACAAATCTCATTGTCCGAAATCTGTCTCAAAGCCAAGGTCAACAGGCCCTTAAATTATTACTGCAGCAATAACAATCACTTTTGCAAGGAAATAAAAACCTGTTTTGGAAAGCTGTTTACAGTGTCTATTGTAGCACAATAAAGCTCACAAGATACTGTTAAATTAGAGCAGCACCATCCTTGGAAAGGAACACTGCTGAGAATTACGCTGTATTGAAGACCACCCTCCCAACAGCTTTCCAGTTCAAAGTATTTTAAGGATTTATATRTTAGTTGCTGTTGGATTCAGAGCAGGAATTCAATTCTACAAGAAACAAGTTTCATTGGAAATGGTTATAAATAGTAATAGGCAAAACACTCCACTAATACAAACTCTAAAGAAAACAAAGGCTCTGTGCTAATCAAGTTGGGTTCTAGTTTAGTGTTAACAGCAGACCTGCAGAAGTCTCAGAGACTCTGGAGATTATGCAGTTCTTTACACTCAGATGCAGATATTCCTTATTAAAAATAGTCCCTGTTCTTCCAACAGCCAGTTTAACTAGCAATTACACAACTATAATTTTTACTTCAGCTATCTACTTCTCACTAAAACCTGAACTGTAACCTTGTCTCTCTTATTTTCTGCTGATATTAAAAATAGTAGTTATTAAAATCTCAGTGTTTTACCTTCACTACTGCATACCCAGAGACCTGCTAGTGCAAAAGCTAGCACAGAGATTACCAGCTGTATGATGTAAAAATTATGAGTCACATATTGTATATTCAAAAGCATTTCCTTGTATCCAAGTGTTTGCTCTGAAGATACAAGGTTTGAGTAACAAAGGGAAAAACATGGTTTCTGGTTCTTTATGAGTCCCACAGCACAGTTGTTCAGTGAGGCAACTGGATTAGAACAGGGATCACCAAGTCCACCAAGCTCCAAAGCTTTAAAAAATGCAAACTGCAATTCATTCTCTTTGCTACTGCTCCTTTCTAATTCCAGAAACCACAGGTTTTTATTACACTGCAAATTTCCCAGCCAGAATTGTGCAAAACATACAAAGYTGTCTCCTGGGCAGCATGAGCTCAAGTCTCCAGAAATGCTASGAGCTTCTTCCAGCCAGCCTGTAACTGAAATACCATCAGTGCAGAGAGAAAYCCTATCGAGACTGTCCTTCCCAGAAGAAAAATGCAGATGAAATGAATCCTTCCAAGGAGCAGCTGCACTTGAGTTTGTCCCTGCTGATTCACTGAAACTCAGAGGCATTTCCTTGCCAGCAGAAGGCAGAGGTATGGGATTAAAGAGAGAACAATTCCTGGTGTTAGATAATTCTTGTAAACTGCTACTATGATTCTGAGAACTGTCCAACGTGGAATGCATGTGTGTCAGGTGAGCTGCTGGCTTGTGRTGATCTGGGCCATTGTCACATACTCCTTTCTGGGTAAAATCTTCTTTCTTCATAATCCTGGAGAACACGAGCACAGCTTTGCTGCTTCACAACAGGCTGGATTTGAAGAAGAGTGTGACTGACTCTAGTTGCAGCACACCAAGTCACAAATCAGTGGATCTCAATATGGACCTAAAGAGAAAAAATGCAGGAAATAATTACGCTGATATCCCTGTCTCTTAGTTCCCAGTATACAGAACCAAAAATAATTTAACATCTTCCACATAAAGAATAACCCAGCTACAGAAAGTAACAGTTGTCCCAACAGACAAGTCTCCTTACAGGCTGCTCGAGCACATCCAGAGGATTAGGAGCTATAACCAAACACCAGCCTGCTTCTGTAGTTTCAGTTTAATCTGCTATAAGCTCTCTTTTGGTGACAGGCATGAAAGTGAGTCAGCAAACGAGCACTCACAGAGATTTGCTGTGTAACAGCAGCACTTCCCTTAACCAATAGAAAACGCAGGCTGGGACTGATTAGAGGCTTAAGTTGATATTAAAGTAATCCTCCTGTAAACASAAGTGCAAGTTGAAATCAGAGACACAACAGTGGAAATCACCAGTGCACCATGAAAAGCTTCCCGGAGGGAACTGGTCAGACTGGCTGTCCCAGCACAGGTAGTGGCTATCAGCTGTAGCACAAAGGACAAGCTGGTGGTGTTCCAGAACTATTCTGTACCAACACTGATAACGAGCAAAAACAAGGCATTTGCAGCTGCCAAGGTTACCAAGCTACGTGTACAACTCCGGGCCATTTTCAAGCTGCAGAATTGTAGGGCAAACCCCAAAAATATAAATAAGAGATGGCACATTTTGACCTCTTCCCATTTCAAATTATCTTTTACAAGTCACAAACTCAAACCACACTTATCTTTCAACATTTGGCCACTGGCCAGATGTCAAAACTTTCATTACAGCTGTGTTTTTGAGGAGAAAGAGTGTCCAGTCCTTGGCTAGAACAGATGTTTGTAGTGACAGTGCACAACCTGCTTCTGTTGCCAATTAAGTTAAAAGTAAATCTTTCATTTCATCACAAGAACTACAAAACTTCAACCCTGCAATAGCTCAAAGCCGTGTTAAGAGTTCCATATTTTGTAGAAACAGGCTCAAAAYAGGACAGATGCAAATTAAATCTATCGTTTTTATGCAACAATATTGGTATTTAAAACTCTGCATTTTCCCTGCTGCAACTGTTCTTGATCTCAAAAATAAACTGATGAAGGAAATTATTCTCTTCGCTCTTTACAAGGTGTCAGGAAGGTGCTATCAAAGTGCATTTATTCACAATTTATTCCTGTGACTAAACAGGAACGGGAAAGGGGCCGCCAAAGCGGGGCACTGACAGCCGGGCCCCGGCAAGGGCAGGGTCCGGGGCTGCATCCGTGCACAGCCCGAGCGACACTGCCCGGGTGACCCCCGGGCCGCGCTCCGCCGTTATCCGGGGCAGCGGCTGCGAACCGCCCCGGGCCCGGCCGGTGCCACCGAGACKCGAGCCCGCCSCGGCCCCGCCGCCCCCGCCCACCTGCAGCCGCACGTTGAGCATCATGGAGGCGACGATGTAGAGGTAGGGGAAGTTGATGCGGAGCTTCCAGGCCAGGTCGAAGAAGATGAGCAGGGTCCTGGTGAGCCCCTTGCAGAACACGCCGTAGGAGCGGGCCGCGGCCGACTGGGAGAGCCTGGCAGCGAGCGCGGACAGAGCCGCCGCCATAAAC